GGGCAGGGCATGGGCAGGAGGGGGTGGGGCAGGGGCAAGGGGTGGTCGAGCACCCACCTGAGAAGTTGGTGCCTATGATTCCAGTATGAATAAAATTAAATCTAATTTTTGCACATTAGGGTTTGTGTGCATGTGCTACACTTACGTTAGTGCTGTTTAGTAAAGTGAAGCTTTACAGATTAAGATGCCTTTGTTAAGGATGTCTCAGATTAGGGGCACCATAGATCTGAAACTCAAGAATCAGTGAGTTGTGTTATGGATTGATTGTGTCACTGTTTCATCATAAGGTTGTGATTAACTGCTCTGTGCTTCAATTTGGAAAGTAACAATAGTTATTTTCCTACCTTAAAGAGATGATGTGAGGATGTTTGAAAATATTAATTTTCATCTATCATACTCCAGGAAAGTGGAGGCAGGAGATTTAAGCATAAAGTTATTACAAAGATGTTGGAGAAGCAGTTATCAGTAACGTAGTACTTGATACTATAAATGATGCAGCATTTTAGGTTTTTATGAAATTACATAATATAACAATCAGAAGGGAACACACACACACATTTGACCTTGCATTGTACAATACAGTTACTTTCTACCCAAATTTCTTTATTAAAGATTGGTTACATGTTAACTACCATGGTTAAAGGGTCCCCCATAATTGGAATATGAAGATCTAAATCTACTGACTCTTCATCAAAAACAAACACTGCTGTATGTTGATCCCACATTCAGCAGAACTTTTCTACCCTGTTAATGATAGAAGGCTGGTGGTGATTGAACATCTAACATAGTGAATGTCAGTGAAAATGAGATAGAATAGAGGCTAAAATAGGAAAAGAACAAGTTAAAAATTATTTAGACAAGTTAGATGTCTTCATTTCACCAGGGCCTGATTAAATGCATCCTCAATACTCAAGGAGCTGACTGAGGCGATATCTGAGCCATTAGTGATTATCTTTGAAAAGTCATGGAAGACGGGAGAGATTCCAGACGATTGGAAAAGGGAAAATATATTTGCCCATCTATCAAAAGGGAAATAGGGACAACCCGGGAAATTACAGAGCAGTCAGCTTAACTTCTCTACCCAGAAAGATAATGGAACAAATAATTAAGCAATCAATTTGCAAACATCTAGAAGATAATAAGATGATAAGTAACAGTCAGCATGGATTTATTAAGAACAAATCATGTCAAACCAACCTGATAGCTTTCTTTGACAGGGTAACAAGCCTGGTGGATGGGGGGAAGCTTTTGATACTGTCTCACATGACCTTCTCGTAAACAAACTAGGGAAATGCAACCTAGTTGGAGCTACTGCAAAACTGGTTGGAAAACCATTCCCAGAGAGTAATTATCAGTGGTTCACAGTCATGCTGGAAGAGCATAACGAATGGGGTCCAGCAGGGATCAGTTCTATTCAATATCTTCATCAATGATTTAGATAATGGTATAGAGAGGACGCTTATAAAGTTTGCGGATTATACCAAGATGGGAGGGGTTGTAAATGCTTTGGAGGACAGGATTAAAATTCAAAATGATCTGAACCAACTGGAGAAATGGTCTGAAGTAAATAGGATGAAATTCAATAAGGACAAATGCAAAGTACTTCATTTAGGAAGGAACAATCAGTTGCATGCATACAAAATGGGAAATGACTGCTTAGGAAGGAGTACTGTGGAAAAGGATCTGGGGGCCATAGTGGACCACAAGCTAAATATGAGTCAACAGTGTAATACTGTTGTTAAAAAAGTGAACATCATTCTGGGATGTATTAGCAAGAGTGTTGTAAGCAAGACACGAGAAATAATTCTTCTGCTCTACTCCGTGCTGATTAGGCCTCAACTGGAGTATTGTGTCCACATTTCAGGAAAGATGTGGACAAATTGGAGAAAGTCCAGAGGAGAACAACAAAAATGATTAAAGGTCTAGAAAACATGACCTATGAGGGAAGACTGAAAAAATTGGGTTTGTTTCGTCTGGAAAAGAGAAGACTGAGAGCGGAGATGATAACAGTTTTCAAGTAGATAAGAGGTTGTTACAAGGAGGAGGGAGAAAAAAATGTTCTCATTAACCTCCGAGGATAGGACAAGAATCAATGGGCTTAAATTGTAGCAAGGGCAGTTTAGACTCAACATTAGGAAAAACTACCTATCAGAGTAGTTAAGCACGGGAATAAATTGCCTAGGGCGGTCATGAAATCTCCATCATTGGAGATTTTTAAGAACAGGTTAGAGAAACACCTGCCAAGGATGGTCTAGATAAAACTTAGTCTTGCCATGAGTGCAGGGGACTGGACTAGATGACCTCTCGAGGTCTCTTCCAGTCCTATGATTCTGTGTTTAGGGTGGGGATGTGCCATTATGTGTGGCTCCTTCACTCAGGCTTTTTGACAGTAATTATCACACTGCTCACCCCCTTTGGCTTGATAGGCTGTCCAGACAGAGGCCAATATAAATACATTAGGCATTTATTATGTAAACTATTTACCTGTATAAATAAAAGCTTGTGTAATGAAAGGTTATGCTGGCCCAGTAAAGTTACCACATTCCTTAAACTGATTATGTACATATACATAATAGGTTTTGCAGCTATAATCTGCAAAATGTTAGATAAAACATACATCCACCCAAGAAAGGAAATTAAAAGGTGAAAATTACTGTAGTGGCTCGAGGTTTACATCTTTCAAGGCTATCTAAAAAGAATCTACTCCAGCAGAAACTGATTTGTGGCTAGCTTCTAATTATGACACTTCCACGTATACTTTTTCCTCTAACAGCTTCAATTTTTCTAAATCTATTTGTAGAAACATACTACTTCTTTTATTGTACCATCTAACCTAATTGCAGAATTCCTGAAATGAAAATACTACCATAAGATAGTCCATTGATTTAGTTGGGGATTGGTCCTGGTTTTAGCAGGGGGTTGGACTAGATGACCTCCTGAGGTCCCTTCCAATCCTGATATTCTATGATTCATAGTAGTTGAGGGATACTATGACTGTCACTTCATTGCTGTTAATTTCCAAAACCCAGCTATTCTGAACAGTGTTCTGGCTAAAATGAACACATGCCATTCTGTATTTGTTCTGTGCCTTCCCCCTAAAGGTTCCTTGGGAGCAGGGACCTGTTACTTTTTTCTCACACTTCACTGCATCCAAACCAGGTGCTATATAAACAATAATATTGTGATGGTGCTCTCAAATTAAACAGTTTCACAGATCAAGAAGCTAAGGGAGCTTTAAACCAACCACCACCTGCGTGGCAAAATAAAGAATGCATCTAGCAAGAAGGAGAATATGGAAGCTTAGCATTGTAAAATGTGACACAGCACATTTTCCCAGAACAGCAAAATCAGCTGTTTTGTGTCTACTTGTACCTTAACCTTTTGTAAGTAATTATAGCTTGAAACTTAGCCATATGGATGTCTGCATTGCCCTGCTGGAGATGCGGCCAATCTGCTTATAGTCAACCTTATTACAGTTTGTTTCCAAGCCCTCCCTTTTCAATTGCTCTACATGTTGCTTGTCTAAGAAAGCAAGACTCTGCTTATCTGCATGATGGAAGTTGATCCTCAGCTGACTCGCAAATACACCGCAGATTAGGTTCTTTTTGATTGAGGAGGGAGAGCGAGTAGAGAGTGCGAGTGTTGCCAATTTATTAAGAGTAACAACTGCCTTCTTGATTTTTGCCTCTAGTAAGATGAGTAACAGAAAAACCTAGTGAGTATCAGGCGAACAGTTTCCTTGCCAGTCTTGTTTCCTCTGTATTCCTTAATAGGAGTAGTTCGCTGCTGTGTCCTCCTCACCCAGCAGGATTTTAAAATACATAGTCAGGCAAAATGGATGGATTGATGTGCGAATCCCATCAGCCAAGATTACTTCACACTCTTCTTGTGTATGGAGCTGGAGCTGACAGACTGCATATTTAACTCTCTATGGCAGATACTTTCCTAGCTCCAGATTACACAGCAGAGGATCCACGGGACAATTGGAAAAAATGAAAGGGGAAAAGAGGATCGTTGATAAATCCAGCTGGTTTGCTGTAAAATCAAGTTTCTTGTTATCTACCTTTTGGGCTTAACAGCTATGCGATTCAATGGTGTCCTAAAGGTAACACAGAGACCTGCTTTACTAAAAAGATACGTATTTTTTTAAAGGACCCAAGTCAGTATATCACGCATCAGCACCTGATAATCTATTTACCCTGCAACGTGTGCGGCCATTTAAGGACAATTAACTCTTCACGATCACGCATTAGTCATGACACTACAGAGGTTGCATTAAAGGCTCCACAGAAAAACTGGGAGGCAACTGATTTGGGGAAATAGCCACCCACGTTCTTCTGCAAGGCTGCTCGCAAAACAGAAGTGCAAAATCAATCTTCATGGGACATTTTAGAAGCACCAGCAAATTTGCATCGGTTGGAGACATAAGGACGTTTATATTTAATTAATATTAATGATCTGTCTCCCCACTCCACTCCAAAGCCGACCCTCAGTCTGTTTAGTTATTGTGTCTCTATCTGCTTTCCCTCAAGGCAGGGGGTGAACACTTTTCTCTTTGCAGATGGCATGAGCGTGAGGTACGGAAATTAGGGGCTTTTGCTTTTTGCATTCGGTCTATTTTTCTTTTTTCTTTTGGCAGCCTGGAAAAGAGGGTTGGGGTTTTCTGTCTGACCCTGGCTATACTGTGGTCAGGACCTTCCGTCTCCAGCAGCCTGTTCATCTCCCTCTTCCTCACCCCAAGCCCAGAGGGAGAAAGGGGGAGGCGATATACGCTCTCTTTCCATGCCTCAGCTTCGTTGGTGCAGCAGGCGTGGGAGCAACAGGACCAGGGGTGGGAACACCCCATCATCCTTTCTCACTTCGGGCAAACACCGCTGTTCTTTCTCTTTTGCATTGCCCCCCGCGCCTCCCCCTTTGTTCCCTCCTCCATTTCCTCCTGCGCGGGTGTCTTGAGGGTGCCAGGGAGGAGGCAAAGGGTGCAGACTGGAGGACCCTGTGTAGAAGGAGCTGGTGTTGCTGACTTAGCCCAAGACTGCTGCGGTGGGAGCTCCCGCTGCTGGCAGGACCAGGAGCGGGGGAGGAGACTGCAGCTCCTTTCCCCCTCTTCCCTTGCGTTTACATTTCTTTCTTTCCGCCTTCCTTAGTCGTCCTCTTCTCCTCTTTATTTTCTCCTTCTCTCCCTCCTTTTCCCCAGTATTCCTCTGCCGCCTGTGTTTGGGCTGAGAGCTGGCTGGGGAGGGCGCTAAAAGAGGGGGAAGAGTGGGGGTGAAAGATTTCCCTGCCTGTCGGGGGGTTGTTTGGAAGAGGCGATCGTATCTGCAGCCGAAGGATTAACAGCTAAACTTTTATTGCAGCCTCTGTGCTGTGTGTGTAAGTAAATGGGGGAAGTCTCCGCTCAAAGAGGGAACGTATCTTGTTTCCTTTTGACAGATGCAGTTGGTGGGGTGGGGAACAATGAACATTTTCTTTAGGACATAAAGTGAAGGAAGAAAAAACTCTCCTCTCCTCCCCCCCCCCTTCAAGAATCTACAGCATCCTCCTCCCCCCAGCCGTGAAATGAATGGAAGAATCTCCGGGATTTTCTTCTGCTCTTCCTCCTGGACTATAGGAGTGAGGGGATCTCTCTCTACGTACATCCATCTCTCTATCTCTCCATCCATCTCCGGGAGGATTTGAGGCGGTGCAATGTGCTTTCAGCCGCTTGCTGCTGCTGCCTGATACCATGCAACACGCAGAGAGAGGGTTTTGCAAAAATGGATTTGTTCGATTTTAAAGGATTTCTTCTCTAATAAGGATTGCATTGCCCACAAATATGACTAAATCTCCTGTCTGGTAAATCTTCCTGCCCCCTCCCCTTTGGGCTCCCTCCCTCCACCCCTTCAGAGGAGCAAGCCCAGGGAGCTGATGACGGACCCATTAATCCTTCCTTCAATGCATCAAAAGAACCCAAAGGTCTGGGAAACGTTGGGCTTGAAATCCTACAGGAAATGCTTCGACCGGCTTTTGGTTTTGTATGAAACTGGTGATTAGGGGTGGGGGGGTTGTGCGAGCGAACCCCCTACTCATTTGCCCCTGCCTCTTTCCTGGCCCCTTTTGATGTGCTCTTTGCCAGGTGCTTGTCCTCCGGTCTCTCTCTCTCTCTCTCTCTGGCCCGTCGCCGCCAGTTATGCAGACTCCCTGTCGTACTCAGCGCCTGCTGCTTTTGATATGATTCACAGATGAGGGTGTTGATGATGATCGCTCTGGTGTGATGGGGTTGAGACGCCGGTGATTGTTTGGAGGCGAGGAGGAGAGAAAGGAAGGGCTGCTACTGCTGCTACTACCCTTCGCTGTGTGTGTGGGCTTCAATTTTCCTACTCCATCCTCTCCCCACCACTGGAAGTCCTCCCGTATCTAAATGGAATTAGTGGAGATCGAAGCCCCTTGTGTAAGGAACAGACATGATCCATGGGCGCAGTTTGTTTCACAGTAAGTATCTTTCCTGAAGCTGCTCTGCTTCGCGGGGCAACTATTTTTCCTTCCTCCAACAGCACAGGTGGAGACATTGTAGGACGGTTAAAACTGGGAGGCTCACAGCTTCAAGGCGTGGGTTTAAACTTTCTCCCCCCCTCCGCCCTCAATGCAGTATAATTGAAAGAGGTGCAAGAAAGACGTAGATATAGCCTGGCGTTTGCAGTGACACATGCACTCGTTTATTGAGTTTGTGGTGATAATAGGGAGGACTGAGTATACCTGTAATTATATAGAGAGATAGTAGCTTTCAAAGTAACCAGTGGCCGTGCAAAACTAGCCAGTAAAGGGTGCTGTAGGGACTGATAGGTATTACAGGATATACCACCTGCCACTATTTCAGTCTTGATTGAGATCTCCTTGCGTGTGGGATTTTAACCAGGGTTAACCCCGAGGCTTGGGTTTGAACCCTCAAATGACAGACCCGAGGGATCTTCAAACACGGAGCTAAATTCTGCTCTCCTCCTAAATCACATCGGCGTTAATCCAGAATAGCTCCACTGATTTCAGTGGCAGTACTCCGGATTCTCGCCGGTGTCACAGAGATCTACGTTTGGCCCATGGTAATCAAAATAATTAAACACAAATGTGGAGGATTAAAGGATAGAGTTTCAGTCACAACTCGGAGTTTACTCCCCCCCCCCCCCCATCAGACCCTTAAATGCGATTTTCAGTGTTAGGGACGGTTTATTCTGGATGCTAGTCTATGTTCTCTATTGATTTGGGAATCATCAATGGGAAGGAATCAAAAGCCCTGGTGACTTGCTCTTGGTTCTGAATCTCTTCTAACGCTGCAGCGTTCTCCATCCAAAATCTGCTAATCTTTAGCAGGAGAGCATGTTACTCTTGTAGAGCATCGTTACGTGAATGCTGTGAGTTGCGCACTGACAACGGTACGCGTTCCCTAATAATAACCTGTCCAGATAGGAATAGTAAGGGGCGCGAGGAGATGTACTCGCTAAACAGGACCTGTGTAAAACAAACAAAAGCCTCAGTATCGAGGCCATTTGAAACACGAGTTCTTGTGTGGAAAATATCAATGGGGCCTATTGCACAGTATGACTCTGGGTGGTCCGGAAAGTGTCATTTTTCTACCCTCCCCCCAAGATAAGAGAAGGTGTGAAGGGTTGGTGGTTTAAACTGAAGCCTCTGGAACAGTACTCTGAAACAATAGCCATTGCTAAGTCGTAAAATAGCAATAATATTTTTTAGAACTTGTTTTCAAAATCCTTTACTGGGTTAGAGCTTACATGTCAAGTTACATTCTCCAGCAACTGTTATGGCCAAATGATAAACCTCTTCAAATATTGATGTATAATGGAAATATGCACAGGTCCATAATCAGAGGAGCACTAATAAGCCTAATTACAATTAGACTAGATGATGAGGAATGGGGGAAGAGGGGAGATCAACAAGAAATTAGGTGAGATCCTGATTTTTAAAAATCCCCAAACCTACATGATTGCTGATATTGTTGTCTTCCTTTCAGCAAAACTCCCTGACTAGCAGTTTTGCCTGAGTAAAGATTGCAGGATCAGGCTCTTCTTTTGGCTTAAAAAAATATGGGAAATATTGTATTTGTCCTGCAATAAGAGGTGGGGAAAAGGGGAAGGAATCAGTTTATTGCAAAATATTGTGTTTGTAATCCAGTAAATTTAACCCATTGACAGATAAGCATATTCATCTTGAGAAGTTTCTCCACTGGTTAACATTCTTCTGCTTGACAGAAATATATTATTGAGTCTTTGCCTTGAAGTTTTAAGGGGTATGTTTCCATAATTCTTTAAGCACTGAAGAAAGAAGTGGGTTTTGTGGCAATCTAAGTATTTTTTGTGATGTTGGCTTTAAAGCCCCCAATCCAAATTACTCTACTAAAAGTAAAGGGAACAAGTATTTCACTTGAACAGTACAGCTGTGTTGGATACAGTATATCTGGATTAAGCAGAGTCTCCTTAAGTTTTTCTTGTTTTTTATTATATTTTATTCCAAGTTTATTCTTTACTGTTTATTGTCAATACCATCATGCCAAGTTGTAAGCATAGCTCTCCATTTTGGAGCAATGTAGGTAAGTGAATTAAAAAGCATTGTTTCTAGTGGTTAGAACTGAAAGCTGGGATTTAAGTGACCTGGGTTCTCCACTCATCTTTGCTACAATGTCACTGGGACCTGGGACCCTTCACCTGGCTTCTCTGTGCCTCAGTTCCTACATCTGTAGAGCGGGGATGTTAATATTTAAGTGTGTTGAGGTCCTCCAATAGAAGGTGCTATATAAGGATAAGGTGGTGTTGTGTTAATTTTCTAATAAGCAGTGTCTTCTGAGAGAGCTAAAAGGTTTACTAGTTTAGGGGGTTGGGTGAAGAGCATACTCCCTCTCCATTGACTTATCAATGATTCCCATTCTCTTTGCAGAGCATAGGTCTTTCAAATGCTATTTTATTCACATTTAGAAAATGCGCAGCTCCAGAGTCTCAAAATATATACACTTAGAATTAAAATAGTAATAAATACATAACTTATAAACTGTCGCAGCAGAAAAGACATTTACACATGTGCCATTCAACCCTCACCCTCAGGCAATATGTGATCTTCGCTCCAGGAAAGCCAGGGGAAACAGGGACACCCTATAGCATGACCTGGACTTCACCAAATCTGGGTTCTGGCAGATAGAGGGAGGGAAATATTAAGGAGTTGGGTCCCCTCACATCAATACCCTGCTAGCAGATTCCTCCCATTTTATCCATGGACCTATTGGCTTGAGTACCTTAGATTGCAATTGCCATGGATTCATGAGGACAGAAAGAGCCTTTGCAGTTAGCTTCATATTGTAAGTCTAAACCAACATCTTACACTATCCATAAATTAGCTGGCAACCAATGGAGATGTGCTTCCTGCATGGAACACAGCTTTAGTGAATGAGCAGCTGCATTTCACACTAGCTTCACATTCTGAGGTGTTTGAACATGTAGTTCATGTACAACATGTTGCAGTAAGGCCATGGATGACTGGAGAGATCCATATCTGAAAAGCTGCAATTTTCTTGCTAAATTAAGAATGCTTTACACCATTTGCAACTTCTACCTGAATATCCAGTAGCAACTGGGGATCCAACAAGACAGTTGTACTGGATAAGTAATGGTGGATATGCCCCCAGTGCATTGTGTTTTTCATCACTTCAGTCTTTCTTTGTTTGAGACTAAACTTTGCCACAAACCTCTGCAAGGCTCGGGTCGGAAGACCTAGAAATACAGGTCTGGGTGTCATCAGGATACTGAAAGCACCACAGACTATATTTTCTCTCCAACTGTCCTAATGGTTTCATTTACACATTGAGCACAAAATGTGACAAAACAGTGTGGAACTCTGTATAAAAGGGTTATTGATGTAGATGGCAATTTCCCAGTGTTATCAGGACAAAAAGGAAGGAAGCTATTCAAAAGCAATCTTATTTAGGTTTACTGTGACCCATGAATATATCAAAACATTCTCATGGTCAGCAGTATCAATGACAGCTGATAGATCTAAAATGATCAGGATGAATACTCAATCTTCATTAATAACCAGGAGACAAACCTGTGCAGTCTTTGTATGATGCCCAGGCTGAAAAAAGGGAAGAAGGAGAATCTGGGGAACTACAGACGGGTCAGCCTCACCTCAGTCCCTGGAAAAATCATGGAGCGGGTCCTCAAGGAATCCATTTTGAAGCACTTGGAGGAGAGGAAGGTGATCAGGAACAGTCAATGAGGATTCACCAGGGGCAAGTCATGCCTTACTAACCCAGTTGCCTTCTATGATGAGATGACTGGCTCTGTGGGTATGAGGAAAGTGGTGGACATGATATATCTTGACTTTAGCAAAGCTTTTGATATGATCTTCCACAGTATTCTTGCCAGTAAGTTAAAGTATGGATTGGATAAATAGGCTAAAACATGGATAGAAAACTTGCTAGATCTTCGGGCTCAATGGGTAGTGATCAACGGCTTGATGTCTAGTTGGCTGCCACTATCAAGCGGAGTGCCACAGGGGTCTGTCCTGGGGCCAGTTGTGTTCAACATCTTCATTAATAATCTAGATGATGGGATGAATTGCACCCTCAGCAAGTTCACAGATGACACTAAGCTGGGGGAAGAGGTAGATTCGCTCCGGACCCTGTCCCTACACTCCAGTGTCCTAGACAAATTGGAGGATTGGGCCAAAAGAAATCTGATGAGGTTCAACAAGGAGAAGTGCAGAGTCCTGCACTTAGGATGGAAGAATTCCATGCAGTGCTAAAGTCTGGGGACTGAGTGGCTAAGTGATAGTTCTGCAGAAAAGGACCTGGGGAATTACAGTGGATGAGAAGCTGGATATGTTGCCAAGAAGGCTAACGGCTTATTGGGCTGCATTAGTAGGAGCGTTTCCAGCAGATCGAGGGAAGTGATTATTCCCCTCTATTCCGCACTGGTGAGGACACATCTGGAGTATTGTCCAGTTTTGGGGCCCCCAACTACAGAAGGGATGTGGACAAATTGGAGAGAGTCCAGGAAAGGGCAACAGAAATGATTAGGGGGCTGGGGCACATGACTTATGAGGAAAGGCTGAGGGAACTGGGCTTATTTAGTCTGCAGAAGAGAACAGTGAGGGGGGATTTGATAGCAGCCTTCAACTATCTGAAGGGGGGTTCCAAGTAGGATGAGCTAGGCCAGGAATTGGCAACCTTTGGCATGTGGCCCGCCAGGGTAAACACTCTGGTGGGCCGGGCCAGTTTGTTTACCTGCCACGTCCGCAGGTTTGGCAGATTGCGGCTCCCACTGGCCAAGGTTCACCGCTCCAGGCTAATGGGGGCGGCGGGAAGCGGCGGCCAGCATAACCCTCGGCCTGCGCCATTTCTCGCCGCCCCCATCGGCCTGGGACGGTGGCCAGTGGGAGCTGCGATCAGCTGAACCTGTGGATGCAGCAGGTAAACAAACTGGCCTGGCCCTCCAGGGTGCTTATCCTGGCGAGCAGCGTGCCAAAGGTTGACGATCCCTGAGCTACGCTGTTCTCAGTGTTGGCAGATAACAGAACAAGGAGCAATAGTCTCAAGTTGCAGTTGGGGAAGTCTAGGTTGGATATTAGGAAAAACTATTTCACTAGGAGAGTGGGAAAGCACTGGAATGGGTTACCTGGGGAAGTGGTGGAATCTCTATTCTTCGAGGTGTTTAAGGCCAGGCTCAACAAAGCCCTGGCTGCGATGATTGATTTAGTTGGGATTGGTCCTGCTTTGAGCAGGGGGTTGGACTAGATGACCTCCTGAGGTCTCTTCCAACCCTAATCTTCTATGATTCTATGAATACCGAATGGACTAGGGTGGAAAAGACCTGAGCATAACAGGTACTGCTGAAGCTGTTCTCTACTCTGTTGTAGAGTCACAATCCCCCTCCACCCCCCCCCGATGATCCGAGACAAGGTGATAACTGTAGAAACGGTCAATATCAAGAGATGATTTCTTGAGCAAAGGTCTAACAATCACCTTTAAAGAAACTGTCCCCTTGCTTTTCTGAAGAGAGAAAGAGAGACAGTGTTTCTGATAATGGCCACAGTATCTCCTTACTAGCCTTCTCCAGTCTAAAGTGCCATGAATTTAACTCCTAGTCTGCAACTTCCAGAAACTCAGGAAGTATCAGCAGCTTGAACTGAAGCAAAAAAGACTTAGTTGGTTTTCACCAGATTTGATCCGCCACTATGGATGCAGATATTTTGGTCCAGATTCAGCTAATTGTATCAGCAAAAGAAGTTGCAAATTGTCACAGCAAGAAACAATTGCCTCAGTAAGAAAATTCAAATAAACCAGATCTACCATTTCCCCCCTCCCCCCTCCCCCCACACACACTCAGAACAGTTCCTGTAAGTGGGACTTACGGATGCTTTTGGTCGTGATGTGAAAAAAAGATTTCTGCTTCTTGCACAACCACATTAGTTTTCAAAAGTTCTTTATGCATGGCTGGCCTTAGGGAAAATGGCACGCAGTGGGACCTTGTCTTTTGGCATCCCCAGGCCCTGATACCTCCCCATTGCATTGAGCTCCCTTCCGTGGCCTCACACCCCAGGCTGCCCCATTCCTTGCCTCTTGACCACAGTGCCCTGGGCAGTCATCAATGTTGTCCACCGTAAGGCCAAACTTGTCTATGCCACAACAAAGCAGATTTGAAATGAGACTTGTGCAACAACCCTTTATAGCAGTCTTTCTTCTCACTGTGTTTGTAGCAGTCACTTGCCTTTTTATTGAATCGCAAAACATGAACATACAAAAAAAAGTAAATATTGGCAGTCCAGTGTCTTATTTGAAGATTGAAAAGGGAGGGTGGGGAGAAGGAGGGGGAACCCAAATGTTGGGAAATGTCTTTTAAACTACATATTTAATCTTTACCTAGACACTTTTATCAGAATAAATACACTTTTATACTTTTAAATTGCAAATAGACATATTATTAAAATAATGTTGTAATGCCACCACAAAACAGTCTGTTTTTGTACTGTGGATATCTTTAAATTGTATTATCTTGAGATAGATTGTTCCAGTTGCTTTAATTGCAGGCAGTAACCTCATGTTGTACCCAATATATTTTTGTCTTTCAGTTGTAGCAAGTCTAATCATCCTACATCTGTCTGGGGCAACAAAAAAAGGAACAGGTATGTTATGTTATTTATGGTGTATAGTCTCAATTTCTGGATACCTGTTTAGATATTTAAATATTTCATAGTGTACTCGTATGTATTTTTTGCATCAATAAAGTGAACTGATGAAAATTCAAATAAAAATTATTTTATAAATTTGCAGATTGCAAGAGCAGGCACAGGGTCATCTAATGCTATGGGAGGTTATTCTGAGTAAGGTCGATTAATCATAGTTAACTCACGCGATTAACTCAAAAAAATTTATCACAATTAAAAAAAAATGTTTTTCTACATTTTTCAAATATTTTTATGCTGAATACAAAGTGTACCAGTACTCACTTTATGTTATCAGAGGGATAGCTGTGTTAGTCTGTATCCACAAAAACACAAATCAGACATCAGGAATAGTAACCTACAAAAGCAAGTAGGAGAACACTTCAATCTCCCTGGACTCTCAATAGCAGATTTAAAAGTAGCCATCCTTCAACAAAAAAACTTCAAAAACAGACTTCAAAGAGAAACTGCAGAGCTACAATTCATTTGCAAATTTAACACCATTAATTTGGGCTTGACTAGGGATTGGGAGTGGCTGGCTCTCACTACAAAAGCAATTTTCCCTCTTAGTATTGACACCTCCTCATCAATTATTGGGAGTGGACCACATCCATCCTGACTGAATTGGCCTTGTCAATACTGATTCTCCACTTGTAAGGTAACTCCCTTCTCTTCATGTGCCGTATATTTATGCCTGTATCTGTAATTTTCACTACATGCATCTGAAGAAGTGGGCTTTTTACCCACAAAAGCTTATGCCCAAATAAATCTGTTAGTCTTTAAGGTGCCACTTTATATTATGTTCATTACAAATATTTGCACTGTAAAAATGATAAACAAAAGAAATAATATTTTTCAATTCATCTCATACAAATACTGTAGTGCAATCTCTTTATCATGAAAGTGCAATTTACAAAGGTAGATTTGTTTGTTTGTTACTGCACTCAAAAGCAAAAATATGTAAAACTTTAGAGCCTGCAAGTCCACTCGGTCCTACTTCTTGTTCAGCCAATTGCTCAGACAAACAAATTTGTTTACATTTTCAGGAGATAATTCTGCCCACTTCTTGTTTACAATCTCACCTGAAAATGAGAACAGATGTTTGCATGGCACTCTTATAGCAGGCATTGCAAGGTATTTACGTGCCAGATATGCTAAACTTTTGTATGCCTCTTCATGCTTTAGCCACCATTCCAGAGGACATGCTTCCATGCTGATAGTGCTTGTTTAAAAAAATTAATGTGTTAATTAAATTTGTGACTGTACTCCTTGAGGGAGAATTGTACGTCTCCTTCTCTGTGTTTTACCTACATTCTGCCATATATTTCATGTTATAGCAGTCTCGGATGATGACTCAGCACATGTTCATTTTAAGAACACTTTCACTGCAGATTTGACAAAACTCAAAGAAGGTACCAATGTGAGATTTCTAAAGATCTAAGAATCTGAAGTGTCTTCCAAAATCTGATCAGGATGGGGTGTGAAGCATGCTTTCAGAAGTCTTAAAAGAGCAACACTCCATTGCAGAAACTACAAAACCCAAACCACCAAAAAAGAAAATCAACCTTCTGCTGATGGCATCTGACTGAGATGATGGAAAATGAACATGCGTTGGTCTGCACTGCTTTGGATAGTTATTAAGCAGAACCCATCATCAGTATGGACACATGCCCTCTGGAATGGTGGTTGAAGTATGAAGGGACATGTGAATTGTTAGCGCATCTGGCATGGAAATATCTTGCAACACGGGCTACAACAGTGCCATGTGAACACCTGTTCTCATTTTCAGGAGACAGCAGAAACAAGAAGCGGGCAGCATTATCTAGGGTGACCAGATGTCCTGATTTTATAGGGACAGTTCTGATATTTGGGCCTTTTTCTTATAAAGGCACCTATTACTCCCCCACCCCCATCCCGATTTTTCACATTTGCTATCTGGTCACCCTAGCATTATCTCCTGCAAATGTAATCAAACTTGTTTGTCTGAGTGATTGGCTGAACAAGAAGTAGGTCTGAGTGGACTTGTTGGCTCTAAAGTTTTACATTGTTTTATTTCTGAATGCAGTTATTTCTTGCACATAATTCTACATTCGTAAGTTCAACTTTCATGATAGAGATATTGCACTACTGTACTTGTATTAGATGAATTGAAAATACTATTTCTTTTATTTTTACAGTGCAAATATTTATAATAAAAATAAAGTGATCACTGTACACTTTGCATTATGTGTTTGTAATTGAAATCAATATATTTGAAAATGTGGAAAACATCCAAAATATTTATATAAATAGTATTCTATTATTGTTTAAGAATGCAATTAATCATGATTAATTTTTTTAATTGTTTGACAGCCTAGTAAGGACTATCCATTCAAGCCCTGGAGCCCAACCCTGTTCCCACTGAAGTCAATGGTCAAACTCCCATTGGCTTCAATGTAAGCAGGTTTAGGCCCTTAATAGGAACTTATTACCTTAAATAGTTTATAAGTGTACTAAATACTTTGTGTGATGTGATTCTCCCTCCCCCACCCCCATTTTAAGCAGAAAAGCAAACCACTTCAGAAGGGCAGAAACCAGTGCAGTGTGGAACTTGGACAAAATATGCAGAAGGAGGCATCTTCACTTCTCCCAATTACCCCAACAAGTATCCTCCTGACAGAGAGTGCATCTACATTATAGAAGGTGACCAGCAAGTGACTCCCATTCTTCTGAGATTAACTGGGTTTTTCACAAATAATGTCTTTCATCTCATATGTGTCTGGGAATTTGTGTGATAATTCTAAACATTGGAAAATATGTTTGATAGTTTAGTCAATTGGGAGAAAAGATTTAGAGAAGCAATTCCTTGACATCTTAAATGATTGCTTTGTGGGAAAGGTACTTGTAGTGCGCACAAGTGAAGTCTTGACTAAATCTGAAGCAACACACGGTTATCTATGGATAACTCACTAGCAAATAATGACTACAATGCAATTATGTAAACTCACTTGGGGAACTGACTGTATCTAAAATCAGTACCATAACATTAAAAACCCTAGAATAAAAAGAAATTAAAATCCTTTGACTCATCATGGAAGCTTCTTAAACATGCAATAACTGAATCATGGAAGGTATACATAAAAAGGGTAGCAAGAAGGCAAGATTCAAAACCAACCCAATGCAGCTGAACAAAAAAGTATGTGTGTGAAAGGAGCTTATTCAACCCAAACAGGTGCCTGTAATTAAAAAAGAATTAATAATAAAAGTAAAGTGATTCCAATAAAAAGGATTATACGCTATGGCAGGTAACATGGGATTTAGAAGAATGAATAGCCAAAGATATCAAAACAGCTAAGAAATTATGTAAGTTCATTACAAGCAGGAAGTTTCAAAGAAAGCAATTAAGGGCATTACACACAAGCTACATGAATTCTTTCCTTTGCAGCAAAGATACTTGAAAAGATGAGGTCTGGGGAAGGTAATAAAGATTGAGGTACTGTCCGTTTACAGGTGGGTGCAGGAACAAACTGATAAGTCATAAGGATCAGTTTCATGTAAGAATTGAGAAGGCAATCAAGATGCTACAGTCCTATGACTATCTAGATATATAGAAACATTAGATAAGAATGAAGTAACTGAGGGCCAGATATATAAATCTACTTAAATGCAGATAGGTATCTAATGGGATTTTGAAAACCACCTAGGATACCACTGATTTCAATGGGGTTAGGCACCTGTCTGCATATTTAGGCACCTACGTACTTTAAAAATTTTGGCCCAGAGATGCTAATAGTATGCTATCTTATAAAAATCTGCTACCATACTAGGAGACTGAAGGGCAGCAAATGTTGTATCAATCTTTTTATTTTTGAAAAATAAGTGAGACAAGGTGTGGGAGGTAATATCTTTTATTGGCCCAACTCCTGTTGGTGCAAGAGACAAGCTTTCATAGAACTCTTCTTAAACCAGGTGGTAGAGAGGATCTTGAGAGCGCCAGACTACTGAGCTTTACTTTACCAGGTAAATTTATTAAAACAAGAATTAGAGAGAATTATAAAATGCCAAGATGAATATGATATGGGGACAAACAAGCATGACGTCTATAAAGGAAAACTGGGCTTCTCGACTCAACTAGAATTCTTCCTGCTCAAGAATCTGTTAAAGAAACTAAGCAGTCATGAAGTAACAGGTTAAGTTCTGTCATAGATTAGAAATTGGCTAAGAGAAAAACAAAAGTAGGTCAGTTTTGAAAATGTAAAAGATTATTTCACTTCTTTCAGTTACTGTGATACTTATGCTCCTAGAATCTGAGCTTCTTGCATACATTAAGGTATGCATCCTCACAACATCCTTTTGAGGTTTCTTATCCCCATTGGACTGGAGATGAATGGAGGCACAGTGCCATTTCTCAAATTACAGAGGAAGCTTGTGGAAGAGGTGAGACCAAAGCTCTCGTCTGGTGCCTTACCACAAGACTATCTTTTCTCTGAACAATGGGGTACCCAAAGGATCGGCCATTATTATTTGAATATATTTACAAATTATCTGGAAAATGGGAGTGGACAGTACTGAGACAAAATATGCAGTTTACATAAAATGATTTAGGACAGTCAAAACTGCAGAAGCATGTGGAATTTGAGAAGCATGTAACTAAGATAGGCAAATAGGTTGCAAGATGCAGATGAAGTTCTATGTTGACAGATACAGTGCAATGTACAGTGTAAGGAATAATTTTGAATTCATACACATTACTGGGTTCTAAATTAGATGTAGCTAACTAACAAAACAAAGCACAAACCTAGGTGTCCTTGTATACAGCACACTTAAGTTATCTCCTTAATGCACAACTGCTGTTTGTTTGTTTAAAAACAAACAAAAAACCTGAATATTAGGATGTACATGGAACGAGATGGGGGGAAAAATTGCTGAGGCCTTCTGATGACATTATGGAATATGATAGTAAGCTCTCCCCTTCAATGCTGTGCTCAGTCCTGGTCTCGCTCTTTCTCTTGGTCTTAAAAATAAATAAAGAGGTAGGACAAGAACAAGTCAAATGGTGGGCACCACAATGAGTAGAGGAGTGGTAAGATTTCCATAATAAGAGAAACTGAAAAAAATTGTAATTGCTTAGAGAAGAGACAAATAAATGGGGACAGGATAGCACTCTATAAAATAATGGCACAGAAAAAGTAAATTGTGTTCCTTTTTTACTCTTTCTACAAGACATAAGCATGACAGTCAATGAAACTGAAAGAATACTTTTAAATATCATATTACTCCTTGTCACAAGATGTTGAGGGTTTTCAAAACAAAGATTAGACATTGATATGGATAAGAACATTTAAAGTTACATACAGTATATATTAGAGACAGGTGTGGGTGAGGTAATATCTTTTAATTTTGTCTTTCTAATATCCTGGGACCAATATGGTTACAAAAACACTGCATATAAGGGGGACGTGTTTTGTTTTAAATGAACGAATGGCTGGTAAATTTGGTAATGCCATTTAACCCACATCGTGCAGATGACACGGTCTATTCTGTGGAAATCTCTCTAAAGTTTACAAATAGGACGTAGTAATGTAGAATTCCCATACAAGATCCATCTAATTTGGTATCTTGTCTTCAACAGCAGCAACTACCAGAAACTTCAGACAACAGTGCTAGAATCCCTATAATGAATAGTAAGGAATAAAGTGCACGTAGGAGAAGGTTCAAGCTAATCTCTATCTCTGTGGATGATTTATGCCTTTGTATTCAAAGCCCTTATGTGCCTTATACATTGTTATCCTATCTGATGTAACTTGTGACAATGAGTTTCATAGAAAAATATTTTTAAAAGTATTCTTTCAATTCCAATATAATAATATAATAAAGAATACATAAAAATATAATAGGCCAATAAAAACAATAGCACAAATCCTGAAGTCTCTACTGAGGCAAAATTGCCACTGACTTTAATGGGACTGAGTAAAAGCTTCAGAATTTGTCCTGTTGTACTGAAATGGTATTTCATTTTGCTATAAAATAGAGTTTCAAAATACTGTAGCTCATCTTAAATGTATGCCACTCTTTTAGCATTTTAAAATTGCTTTGATAAAGAATAGGTGTCCACAATAGGTGCCAATAGTAACTAAATGGGGGAGGGAGGGGGAGTCTGTTAGACAGTTCTTTAATCTAGCCTTCAAAGATGTAACAACATCCAACAGCTGGAAGCTGAAGCCACACAAATTTAGACTCTTAAAATAATTACATCTTATTTCTAGTCAGGGTAATTAACCATTGGAACAACTAGGGATGTGGTGGTTTCTCCATCACTAGAAATCTTGATTTAAAGTTTGAATGTTTTCTAAAAGAGATTATGGGCTCGATGCAGGAATTTCTGCATGAAGTTCTATGACTTGTGTTAAATATATTCTGAGAATGACACAGCCAAACGTTATACAATATATTTCAACTTTTGTGCTAGAAGTGTAGAATATTACTTGTGTATTTAGATCACTTCAATAATTCTCTAATTAAATGTGTATTTATAAATATAAGGAGGAAGTGCCTGGAATCATTTTTATGAACTTGAGAAGAGTTGTCAATTAAATCTTCCAATATATATTTGGGTGTTAATATTGCCTGCATGTTTCATTTATTATCAATAGAAAATTAATGGTAGATCTGTTGGAGGCCATCCATGCTTTCCCAAAGATTATTAACTTTCTTGTATACTCTTTCTTTATATATAAATGGTGTAGGGCTGTCATATTTCACTATACTAAAAACAGTCTGCTTGAGTAACAACATAAGTGCATTTACATAGTATATTTCATGGAGCTTCATGTTTTCATAATTTAATTTCCAAAAAAAATAAAGGATCTGAACAACTGGAGATACCAAGGATTAAGCAAATCCATTAGTCCTGCAGCAATTCACATTTCTGAGGGGTAGATGTTTAGATCATTGTCTCATTTCCAGACAATCTGCTAAATTAAACAGATTTTTTTTCTTAACTTTAGTTGTCAGTTACACAGACTTACAGCTGCTCAGAATTAAAACCTTAATTGTGTGTGTTTTGCTGCAACTGTTAGAACTAGTTAGCAACCAATGTCTTTTTTTCCCCAGCAAATGTAAAATCTAAAGACAGCACTTGTGTACGCTAATTAAATTAAAGAGATGACAAGACATGCAAGCATTTTAAGCAGTCTTTCCATGGTATTAAAAGTCTCAGAAGAAAGATAATTAGAAGCTTAATAAAGAAGATTTTTAAGATTTGATGAGACACCAGCAGTGTTTTTACTCCCATCTTTTGCCTACACTGTAACTATAGGCAAAATTCCTATGGCCATCAGTGGACTTTACACATGACTGGGAATTCCAAGATTGACCCTTCCAGTAACTAGTACGTTTTCCTGTACATTGTGAGGGAAAGTATCATCTAATAGTTGTGATGGGTCTGTTTGAGAGCAGAAACTGTGTTGCTGTGCAGTAAGCTAGGGCACAGAAAGGGCTTCCTAGAAAACCTGCTTGCTATAAGCAAAAAGGAAGTTTTGTAGAAATCATACTCTTGTGTTTGCCCTTCAGTATTTAACCAGAAGTAATGATTTGAGCTGTGGCTTTTTCAATCATCCAGAGCTATTTTCAGGAACATTTGGATCACTTTGTTGTTCAGATGGGATGTAGTCAGCCTGAAACTTTGATCTTTAACTCTAAGCACAGTATCCAAAAAAGGCGATGCATTTAAAAGCAAAATATAATACGGTCTGAAACAGTTAAGGGCCAAATTGTTCTTGACCTTTGTGTGGCTGGACAGGAGAATGGGACCCCTTCCTAACTTGGCATACCCCCTGCAAGAATTAGGGATAATCAGAGTCCTTACAGTTTGGGGTCCACAATGTGCTGCATCCCAAATAGAGAAGGCGAGGGTGAAATCTCTGTCCTCCTCTGTACTGGGCTATCTCGTAGGCTGGGCATAATAGGAATAGTAGATGTTCCATCCTTACAGCAGCCAGTGCATGTTCTGTACACAGGAGAATTCAGCGTGAACACAATGCCTCCCTGAACAAGCCAGGAGGCAATGGGGCCCTGCGCAACCTCTATTCAGAGCTACATACTCAGATAGACAAAACAGTCTAGACTCGGTTTAAAAATAAATAGAAGGAGAGGAAAATAAACAGTAGCAATATTCAAATCCTAAAACCAATATTGATATAAGATTCAGAATGCTGTTGTACAGAGTGAACTAAATGTTGGACTCCTGAGTCAAGCAGAGCTCCCACTGACGCCACTGGGAGTTTTAAAGGAGTCAGGACTGCAGGTCTGATTCTCAGTTACCTTTTACACCACTTTGGCAGTGTAATTTACTTATCAATGACAAAGCGGTATAAAAAGGTCTTGGTGTAAGTCAGAATCCTCCCTGCAGTTTCTCTCACAATACGTTTAATAATCCTTGGAAATCAAACAATGTTTGGTCAAGCATTTGTTTGACTATGAATCATCACTGGCAAGATTTCTCGTAGGATGTATTGGCGTGATGGAGAAAGAGTTTTCTAACATAGGCAGTTTAATTAAAAACAAACAATACATGAAATTAATGTCATGCTCCCAGAAACAAAAGCGGAAGGCCCACATAGAGCCAGATCCTTGTCTTCGGGGGCACTGCCGATTAAGGAAATGTGGCCATGCATGCAGAAGCTCTGTGAAACATGAATAAAGGTGTCAGAACCTGGCCTTACCTGAACTAACAATTCATTGTCTGTTTTTTAAACAAGTTGCAAGAAGTTTAATAGAATTACATATGAATAACATGGATAAAAGATGTTGTTCGAGTTATCAGTGACCATTTTTATTGTGATTTAAAGGCACACCGTCAACTGAAAAATGCCAGGGCCTGATCCTGCAGTCCATAAATGAATTGAGAGTTGGTCTCTAAATATCTCCTTAAATCCAACATTAACATGTAAAATATGGTCCCAATTTTTCAAAGTGCTGATTCCTCTCAGCTGCTCTAGCATAACAGTTAGTTAACAAATATTGATATAAAACCTACCTTATGTGAAGTCAATGGTAAAAAAAGTCTAAACAAAATTAATCAATGATATTTTCAAGTTATTCTGTTCATCACTATAATTGAAAAGATCTTTGTCTTTGACCTTATTCATAATAGATTAATAAAACTTTCTTTACAAACAATAGATTAAAACATGATTTTGTTTCAATTTTATAGTCTTTGTCATATTCAGATTTTCATTCCCAGGATCTGTGAACGCGGTTCATTTCTAGGTAAAGATATAGGTCTGCTCCTGTTGTTTACTGCACAGGGGTAATAGGCTGAAAAAAGTGTGCGTGAGTGTATCTATAATTAATAGTTTCCTGATTGTAAATGTCAAATTTGAGGATAGGTAAGTTTTTTCAATTTTAAATAATTTCACAGTAAACATGAAGCACATTTTTAGATGAAAAATTTACGTTAGTATATTTCACCATAAAGAATATTTCTCCTTAAATAACTCTAACCTACATATGAACTTTTTTCTCAGATTCTCATATAATTAAGTTCTCATACATTGTGCTATATTTTTTCCTATAGCTGTGCCTCTCCTTTATGAATAGAATAATATCTCAAATCACAAGTGATTCTTATTGAATATTGTTCCTTAGTATGTAGTAATTGTAATTAGCCTGCTTTCTGAAGTGAGTAGTGAGTCTTTCTCAAAAGCTCTCCTTTTTAAATGACTAAAAAGTTGTGTGTTTTTTAGGTTTTGTTTGTGAAACTGTTTTCTAACATTTTCTTGTCACTCCACCATGAACCCGTCCCGTGGATAAAGGGGTGAAAGATACACCAGGATCAGAATCCTGTCTGTACACCTCTACCCCAGTATAACGCTGTCCTCAGGAGCCAAAAAATCTTACTGCGTTATAGGTGAAACCGTGTTATATCGTACTTGCTTTGATCCACTGGAGTGCGCAGCCCCGCCCCCCCAGAGTGCTGCTTTACTGCGTTATATCTGAATTCGTGTTATATTGGGTCGCGTTATATCGGGGTAGAGGTGTATTTAGTTTCCATACTCAAAATATGCACTAGGCCCAGAATTTGGCTCTAAAGTTCTGATTGTAAAAAGCATGCAAATATCCTTTGGACTTCAATGAGAGTTGTATGTGTAGAATCCAGGACATGACCTAATAAGAGGAACTTAATAAAATTGTCTCAGAAAATGTCTGATAGTAGAGGGTTCTCTAATCTAACAGAGGCATAGCAAGATCCAGTAGTTGGAAATCAAAGCTGGAGAAATTCAAATTGAAAACAAGGCACACATTTTTAACTGTAAGGGTAATTAACAATTGGGAAAACTCAACTAAATGGATTCTCCATTACTTGCAATCTTTGATTTTAAAAAGTCTTTCTAAGAGAGATGCTGTAGTTCAACCACAATCTATTGGACTTCATGTGCAAATTACTGGGTGAAATTCTCTTGTCTTTGTTTTACAGGAGGTCAGACTAGATCAGGAGTCGGCAACGTTTGGCACGCAGCTCACCAGGGTAAGCACCCTGCTGACGCGTCAGGTTCGGCCGATCGCGGCCCCCACTGGCCGCGGTTTGCTGTCCCGGGCCAATGAGGGAGTCGAGAAACCGCGGCCAGCATATCCCTCACCCGCGCCGCTTCTCGCCGCCCCCATTGGCCCGGGACGGCGAACCGCGGCGAGTGGGAGCCGCGATCGGCCGAACCTGCCCCATCAGCAGGTAAATAAACTGGCCCAGCCCACCAGGGTGCTTACCCTGGCAAGACGCACGCCAAACGTTGCTGACCCCTGGACTAGATGATCACAATGATCCGTACTGGCCATAAAAAGCTATGAATTTAGTATCTCTTTAATACTTTGATTAAGTGACCATTTTAAAGTATCTTCAAGGTTTCCAGTAGCATATTGTTTAAGGTAACTAATTTTCTTGCTCTTTGGGTGGTTTCATAAATGATGTTTCTCTGTATTTAAGGTTATGTTTCAAATAAGATGGTAAAATTATTTAAGGCCAAATTTTGTTGTAGGATTTATACACAGGCCTCTCATTGACTTCAGCGCATCTGGGGACAGAATTTGTCTTTAGTTTATACTCTAGTTCTGGAAAAGGAATTCCTCATCTTCATAAGCACTGAAAAAATAAGTAGATCTTCCTTAAGTTGTCTGAAGAGACATTTTCACCCATTAATTGAATTCCTTCAGAACTTCTCTGTGAACGAACTATTGCCAAGTCATAATTTGCTTTTCTACATAGATGGTTTTCTTAGCTTACTTAAGAAATAGTGTTGGAAATGCTTTTTCAAAGGAAAAGAATAGGCATGTAAATTAATGTTGTGAAATGTAGTTAGGCTATTGAAGATGTCATAATTTTCAGAAACTGACCAGAACCATTGATTTAGAAATAAAAAGGTAATAGTTTATAGAAAAACTAGAATGTATAAATTTATCAAAATTCTGAAAGTAAAAAATTAGCAATTTTTAACTGCACAAATTTTGTTTTCTTTCCCCCTCTAGCTGCCCCTCGACAATGTATTGAGCTACACTTTGATGAAAAATATTCTGTAGAGCCTTCTTGGGAGTGTAAATTTGATCACATTGAAGTGCGAGATGGACCTTTTGGCTTTTCCCCAATCATTGGACGTTTCTGTGGACAGCAAAATCCACCTATGATAAAATCTAGTGGCAGATTCCTGTGGATTAAATTTTTTGCTGATGGTGAGCTGGAATCTATGGGTTTTTCCGCTCGATATAATTTCACACCTGGTGAGTACAAAGCGTTACACTTTTGGCAAAAGGCTTGATTTTTACAGCTTGCTTTGGTGGTAATGTAGAATTGTGACACACTTCAATATTTTTAACGGGAATATATTTTAATTTCAAAGAAAATATATTTTTTTATTTAAACTCCTGATGCCCAGTTTGTTTATCCATCTTGCACAACACACCCAGCTTTTTTCACAAAGGTTATTTTTCAGTACATTTTTTATGATAGCTAGACATCTTGAGCAGAAGGACTTGTGTAATTGTAAAACACATTGTTTTCAACAGAATTCTATTATAGGAAATCATTTAAAATCCTTTATCAGGAAGTATACGGTTTATATTTGATTGTTACGCTGTTTTGTTTTTCCTTCGAAGTGATCAGCAATAAAAAGTATTTTAATTTAAAAAAAGGAATTCTCAGAAAATTACATCACTGCTTTTTTACTTTGCTTTATTGGAGAGGGACTACCCTATACCTCTGCTTATTAGGGGAGATAACTGGCAAACTGCTGCTTGCATTCCAGAAGGAAGTTTAAGATCCAAAGAATAATGTGTTCAGCTAAGTGTTCCAGCGAAAGATGTTTCCAAATCTCATTTGCAGTTGTACAATTACACTTTCTTTGTCAATTTGTCTGTTTAATTTATTAGAGTAAAATAAAGATTTCTAGTCATGCTTCCAGTTAAATGTTGCCTCAGATCATTACAATAAAAAAATTATTTATTTTATTTTTGGCTTCAGTAGCACTGCACTGCAGTCTTTAGGATTTCATGGCATTCTATAGGGTTTCTGACATATGGAGCAATGACTCATATTTTAGTATAGTTTGATCAGAGAGGTTGTACTTGTAATTATTTATGTAATTTTGTCAATTATGTAACCAATGTTTCAGTTAAATTGTATTGGGTGCAGCAATATTCTTTTAGAACATGAGCAAAATCAGTCAGACACAAATCCTGCTTGCTTCCTTATTCCAGTGGTACCATAGAAGTTAATAGGACTACCTGTGTGTAACTAAAGCAAGCAGGAGTTAACCTCAAAGGGCTCTACACAGCTTTATTTATCTGAAACAAGTACAAGAGATAACATACAATTAACTGGGTTTCAACTACATATTAAGCGGAAGGATATTGTCTCTTGAAGGGGAAAATGTACCTACAGGACATGAATTTCACATACACAATAGAAGGACTACTTATTGATGTCTGTGGGAAATTCTTCAGTAAGCTGGTGGGCGTATATAGCCATTTGTTTGTTTTTCTATAAACAATTGTGAATGGACAGAACAATATTCCTTTGAAATTTTACTGAAGAGCCACATGTGCTTCTCTCTTAAAAATTGGATTAGCTGTGATCTGTCAGTAACAGAGGCTATGTGGACTTCTAGCATATTCCCTCACCTCCCTGCTTCAGAAAAAGTACTTAATTCTAGATCTCCATATCCCTCATCTTTCAAAGGAGCTATGGTGCTTTGGTTGAAAGGGATGGTGTTAGCACAATCCACAACTTATTCCATCTAAAAACTTCCCAACTGAAAAAAAAAAAAAAAACTATTCAGGTACCATTCTATTCCTCATTCCTCTTCCACTGGTGTGAGTTTTTTTCTGACTAAAAATCAATGCCAGTAAATTGCTGTAGCAGCATAAATTACTCCAGACTTCAGGTGGAATAGCTCTTTTTTGATAGCCTTCTATATGAGCACTTGGAAAAAATAAGCGAGTCTAGGAATACAGGCCATAAATAAAAGTATAATTCATCTGGACACAATTCAGAATAGTGTTGTCGTCTTCCTTACCTTTGATTTGTGTATTTTGAAGGTCAGGGATAGTTAGATCCATAGTCAGTTATAACTTAAAAGAGTGGGATGTAGGGGTTCCCACTCCGGTCTTCCTAGATGAAGATGAAGCTACATCTTTGAATGTATATACTGTGTGTGTGTGTGTGTGTGTGTGTGTGTGTGTGTGTGTGTGTGTGTGTATAAATCAGATCTACCTCATGTTTTTAGCTGGGGGACTGGGACTG